CTCAGGACAGCCCCGGGCCCATGAAGGACAGACAGCATGGGGAGTTCTAAGGACAGCCCCGGGCCCATGAGCAGCATGGGGAGCCCTCAGGAGAGCCGGCCCATGGAGGACAGACAGCATGGGGAGCCCTCAGGACAGCCCCGGGCCCATGAAGGACAGACAGCAGCTTGGGGAGACATCAGGACAGCCCCGGGCCCATGGAGAACAGACAGCAGCATGGGGAGCCCTCAGGACAGCCCCCGGCCCATGAAGGACAGACAGCAGCTTGGGGAGACATCAGGACAGCCGGCCCATGGAGGACAGACAGCAGCATGGGGAGCCCTCAGGAGAGCCGGCCCATGGACAGACAGCATGGGGAGCCCTCAGGACAGCCCCCGGCCCATGAAGGACAGACAGCAGCTTGGGGAGCCCTCAGGAGAGCCCCGGGCCCATGGACAGCAGCTTGGGGAGCCCTCAGGACAGCCCCGGGCCCATGGAGGACAGACAGCAGCATGGGGAGTTCTCAGGACTCCGCTAAGCAGCACTGCCGCAGGAAGCCGAGCCCCCAGTGACCGGGAGGGGACACGCTGGCCTCCAGCCAGGGACAGAGCAGCCCGGCCTGCGGGGAATGCCCGGGGGGTGCAATCAGAGGAAAGGGAAGACTTTTCTTAGTGTCTTAAAGGGAGTTACAACAGTACGGAAATGATGGGGTAAATCACTGTTACTGCTCCCTGGCTGGAACGCTGTTGGCGTGACTCAAAATGTATCCCAAGATGATTTCCCGTACACACGTGTGCTAAGAGGGGTGGAGTGGGGAAGCAGAGTGGAGACAGCACATCCAGGCTCTGTGGAAATCCCGACAGGGAAGGAGAACTCGACAGTACTTTGCAGGTCCTGATACAGGAGACAGGGAGAGGTTTTCTGCAGGACCAACAGCTGTGGTGAAATCCCCCTCCTTAGATGAACCTGCTTCATTAAAACCCCATAATAATGTTAACAGCCCCCTCCATCCCACAGTTCCCCGCCTCCAAGCTACAACCTCCCCTCACTGGAACTGGAAGGGGTTCTGACAGCCACGGTCACCAAGCACAAATACCAGCGCTGCCACGGCTGGGTCCAGTCCTGTGTCCCCAGACCGAGGCCCTGGCGCTCGGTGACAGAGAACTTGCTCAGTTATGTGACATTTCCTTGTCCCACAAGAAGGGCACGCTGGACAACCACCTTGTACTGAAGCGTTGTTTATTGATCACCTGTATCAAGCACACATCTGCTCGGCAACGGTGCGTGACGGGATACAACAGTTGACATCGAACCCGAAGGGAGGCACGTGGTCACAGGATCCGGCACAGCACGAGGACGTGTACTGAACCCTCTGGAAAGAGCCTGGCTACAACACGGTGCTCAGGCTGTGTTGTTACGAGGCTCAAGAGCAGTGAGAATAAAATTAGGAATACAGCTAAGACTGGAGCTGACTTGTGCTTTGGCCAGTGATTTAAACACCAGTTCCCCTGCGAATAGGGTATGTAGGTTGGTGCTACACCAAGGGTTACTGGGGGGGAGCAGCACAGACCAGGAAACCCAGCGAGCATCTGAGTGGAAAGCCTCAACACTTGTGCACCTCAAGCAGGCAGTAATCCCGAGATGAGGAAAGCCAGGCCCATCCCAGACACACCACGACAGATGTCTTAGACTGAATCGCCATGCACACTTCAGATACAATCCAGAGTTAAGGAACTCAAAGGTTTCAGCAGGGCTAAAACTTATGCCAAGACACCAAGAGGTCACTGAAACACCAGAGTGAGCTTCATCTTGATAGAAAAAGTCTTGGAAGGCAGAGGGTGAGGAATAACAACACAATGCTTCTAAACCTCCCTGTACCCCAGAGCCTGCAGAAGGGTGGATCCAGTGACAGGACAGAGATCAACATCTTCAACTTTTGCCAGGAGGAATATAAAGAAAAGCAGCTTTGGGGTTTTTACCCAGCTCAGTGTTCAAGCCTGGTCAATGAGCATCTGAAGAAAAATGTCTGGTAGCAGGAGTTTGCACTGTGAGGATTTATTTAGCTGCTGTTAAAGAAGCTGAACAAAACCTCAGCCAAACTCTGCTGGAAGAGCTGCCATGCTGCAGAACAGGCTGTAGCTCCTCTATGAACATCAATCCTGGCACAGCTCTATCTTTAGTTGAAAGAATTCTGACTGAAAAAGTCATGCTTGAAAGATGACAGAGCAGCTCACAGCCCTCGACAAATGCATGTGAGGACCTTAAACACATTTTAGTTCCGTACCTGCATCCCAGCATGTCCCTGTCCCAGTGCTGCTGGAGGTGACAGACCTCACACCCTGCACCCAGGGGAGCTGGCACTCAGCAGGGCAGGAGCTCTGGGGTCTGCTCCTGCCAGCTCAGTGCTGCTGACACTCAACATGTGCAGGCGTGCACCAAAGTGCTTTGAGCACTGGCTCAACCTGCAGGGACAGCAGTATCACAGAGCTGAGGAGCTCAGCCAAGACCCAGCCACGCTTTAAACACTGCTCTCCACTCAGGAAAAACCCTCACCCAGTTAATCATTCAATTCCTCCCAGACACTAAAAGGTGCTTCACCAAAAGGACAGTTCAGCTAAAAGCAATGAATCACACACCCCACCTATGCAAAGGCTGCTGAACAACTATGTACACCAAAGTAGCATCATTCCCAGAAAAATCTGATCAGCAAATCACACCTTAAAACTCATTCTGGGATTTTATTTTTTTTTTCTTTCCCCTGGCAAGCCCACCATCTCAAAGGCAACAGAAGAATTCAGATTGGTCCTTTCTGAGGGAGTTTGGTACGGGCCACAGTAGACAGGACTATACACCAGCACAGAGAGCAACTCAGACTCATGAAATGCTACAGACATTGGATCTCCTGACACACCACGCACAGGGCAAAAAATCAAGAGGAACTTTTTAAGTGCAGGATTCCAGCAAGTCCAGCATCAGCAAGATGCAAACGCTAAACTGCAAGGTAATTCAGGTATTATTCCAAGGAAGGTCGGGGATGGTTCAGGCAGCTGTCCCCAAGCATTTCATCTGAAGAAAAGAATTCAGGAGGGCTTTCCTCCTCACTGAAACTGGGACCAAGACCACAGGCCAGAATACACTGGTGACTCTCTAAAGAGGGCTGTTTCACACTGTGCCCAACAGGAGCAGAGTGCCCACCCCCTTGGGAGAGGCTCTGCTGGGTGCACGGGTCTGGAAATCCCTGGGAAACAGCCTCTGCCTGCCCCCTGGCAGCAGCTGACTGGAGCCACGAGAGCAGAGCATGCTTTGGGGGGAAGTGATGCTGCTCACCACAGTGCCTGCCCCAAAGGCACGTGGCTGTTGTCCTGACACTGTGAAAGACCTTCTCCTGGCCAGTCCAGTCTGATGACTGATTAAGCCCTTTCTGTACAGGATCTCAGATTGCCTCAAGCCCTTTTTGTAACCTATGAAGGACCAAAAGTGTCAGTGCTTCTAATCTACAAGTCTTAATGAGTTAATGCAAAACCAAAACGCACAACACAGAAAAGCCAAGCGTGGGACCTACAACGGACAAATATTTGCTCTTGTAAGACTCCCAAGGCAGGAGTCCTGCTGTGCCACAAAGAATACTGTGTGCTGTAGCACTCCTTTCCAAAAATATCACTGAAAAGACGCTTACATATCACAGATGATTTGGCATCAGAGCTAGGGAGCATCAGTGCCAGCACAGGGCATGTGCTAGAAAGAATCCACACGGCACGGTTTTCACATCTACTCAGGCTACAAAGTGCTTACAGGTTGTGTTGGGACTGAGGCTGGCACTGCTCTGACCAGGTCTCCACCATCAGTCCCGGCCCACCCCAGGCATACAAGCAAGCTCAGCTCCCCACAGGCAGCATCATCCACACCTCACTGCCCAGCCCAGCATCAGCTGCATGGCTCTGCTCAGGTCACCATGACAGGGTAACCCCACAGGCTCAGCAGATCCAATTTCATTGCCTCCCTCTGCTCTGTGTGAGGAGAAGACTCAAAAGTCCTCCTGGTCTGGTTTAGAGAGGATGGTGTTTCTGCTTCTTTATTTATAACAGGTATCAACAAAAAGCAGGCAAGCCTTCTTCCTCCCCCAGCACTGGAGAGGGGTACCTGCGTTATAGGAAAGCTTAACAAAGAAATCCTCTCCCCAGAGCCAAGCCCAGTGCCAGGGCCAAGGCTTTGGTCTCACTTCCGATCAGCAAAGAAGCCCTTTCCAGGATCTGCTCGGCCTCCCGGGCTCCCCCTGTCCCCACTGCTGCCAGCCGGGTGGCCCGGGCAGAGCCACACCCCCTGTAAATGAGCAAGCACAGCACACACACAAGCACACGCTGAAAGCGTCCCGCCCTCCTCAGCACATCACAAAGCAGCAGTAAAGTTTCAAAGCCCATTCAAGTCCTTTGCACCTCTCCTTCACAGATGACTCCAGGGCTAGGAAGCTCTTTTGCACATTCAACATGTGAGGAAGAGGAGCAAGACAGCTCTCCTGATTGTTGCTACTGCCTACAGCAAGTTTTGGTACAGATATCCTCTCTTATAGGCACTCAGCGGGTAAAACGTAGCCACAACAAACTTGCCATCAAAAATCTTTCCAGTCAGCATTTTTTGGGCAGCTTTGGAATCACCAGCATTTGCATATTCAACAAAGACCTGAAAGAGAGAGAGAAGTAGGACTTGCAGTGCACCACACCACTTGCCATCTCCCACCCCTGCAATGGGGGAAACCATTCCTAAACAAATTATTCCCCTCCATCCTCGGCTGAGCAGAGAGCACTGGAGCTAAGAGCTGAGTCTCTAAACTGGGATTTCATCTCCTGCTCCTTGGTAAGGTGGGAGAAAGTATGCTGCTGGTCTACAACCTCAACAATTCCTCTCCCACCAACTGGCTTCTCCCCTTCATTCCTTCCATCCTTCCACCTCCCAGGTTAGGTAACCTTACATAACCAGAAGGATCCTGTGCTGTCCTTCAAAACAGCCATTTATTTTTAGCACTGCCATCAGCCAGATTTCCAGGCACTGAGCAGCAGTCCTGCAGCACGTGGGGTGTACGTGGGAACACAGCTTCTTCCCTGCATTCACTTACTTGGCCTTTACCAGGATTCTCCTTTGGGATAAGCAAGGAAACCACCGGCCCGTATTTCTGACACTCCTCCCTTATGTCTTCCAGGATATCTGGGAAAGGAAAGAGCTGGTTGTCTTTCACTTTGCAAACTAGGGTGAGCCAAGAGACAAGTGAAGGCGAGATGAACACAGCAAGAACACCCGGACAACAAACATTCCTTTCCACTCAATTTAAAATAAACAAGCAGGAGGTGACACAGCAGAAGCTGACACTGCTTAGTGGCCACATAATGAGATGGAAGTGCCTGAACTGAGGCTCAGGAACAGAGACCTGCAGGCAGTGATCCTCCAGCAGCAGGTTCCAGTAGCTAAAACATTGGGGATTTAGGAGTGCCTGCTATGGCACTTGGAGAAGGGGAACTAAAGGAGCTGGCACAAACCCTTCTTTGTGTGAGCAGAACTCGGCCTTTCAACTTGTGTCCCCAGAGCTCTCTCGTTTGTGCTGCACACAAGGATTTGACAGCAAGAGAAATGCAAATCCCACCACCATGCCTGCCATGCACCAGGATGGCAGTGAGGTAACTTAGTTCCAGTGAGATACTTTAGTTCTCTGCTGAGATCTTGGATAAGTTCATTAGCAAATTTTTAAGGATCTGTGCTATTGGGCTTCAGAGTCCTGTACATATCCAGCAGAAGCTCAGAGCCACAAACACCTTGTGAATTTGGTGGGCATCTAACCAAAGAAGAATTTATTTTAAATCTGTGATCCTTCAAGAATTCCCTACAAGCTCTGCTTTGTCTCTCAGTTTATTCTCTGTTGGTACAGTTGACCCCTTGCAACCAAAGCTCAGCTGGGCAGCTCCGTTTGCTGTTCTTGTGCCTGTTAACTGCTCACCTGCTTGCTCTCACATCCCCAGAGCCACAGAAAACAGAGGCTGTAAGACAACATTGCTGTAAGGAAATTGCACCTACCTTCATACTCTTCTTCACACTGCAGAGAAGCATCACTTAGAACATTTAGCAGCCTCAGCACAGGTGTGGGGAGCATCACCAAATCTTCAATATGGGGAGCTGTTTGACACCCACAGAATTAAAGAAACAATGTCAAAGGAACAAGCAAACAGGAAGCTGACTCAATATGCACTGTGATACTCAAGCACTTACTCCTCTTTGCAGTAGTTTTGCTTCTCTCCACTATTAACTGCATTTATAGTCAGAAATCTCCATTTCTATCTTATCTTTATCTGGATTCTTCCAAAGGGTTCAGCACACTCTGCAATTATTCTGAGGCCAGCATCTGAAATTGCTTTTCAAATTAAGGCTAGAATTGTGTCTGCTTAGCCCAGTCTCAGAAACTGATGTGACCTCAAGAACCATGCCAGCTGAACAAAGTACCCCATCTACATGGAGATGTGAGAAGATCAAAGGAATACTCTGCAACTGCCTCTCCCATCACTGCTCCCAGACAAGCTGAAAACAGGCTGGCCAGCGTCCCTAATTCAGCTGTTCTCAGATCTCCTTAGAATATCTTTTAGATCTTCCCTGAACACCATATAAACCCTCCTCCCCCCAAAATCCAACTGCAATCCACTGCTTTGAAGACCACCATACTTAAGCTAGTTGAACAGTGCAGTGCTGTAGAATCAGGCACGGCCACAAGGTGTGTGAGCAGTGATCCTGTGAAGGACTTCATAGGAGCAGAAATAAAACCCTTTGGGTGCTGGACATGGGGCACTTGGCTCTAGAAAACAAGCAAAATGCTTGATTTTGTGTTCCTGTACACTAGTGACAGGCCATTAATTGATTTAAGATCTGGGCACCCAAGTTGCAGTACTTGGAGAGTGTTAATGTGTTTGTTTGTTTTGGCAGCTACAGCAGCTGAACACAATAGCAGGACCTCACAGCTCTGCCACTTGACAGTGAGGGGAGAGAAAAGGGAAATGGCTTCATGTCTCCAGTCTGAGCCTTCTGACCACGGCTGCAAAGTGAGCTGTTATTTCCTAGGAAATACTTTTCCCAGCTAAGCACACAATGCCTGTGGGGGAGCTGACATCTCTGCCAGGCACAGTCAGTTGTTGATCTCACAGTGCAAGAAGAGATGCAAGGCAAGCACAGATGCTGTAGATCTCCTGCCTGTCATGGAAGAGCCCTTATGAAAAGCTCAGAGTGAAAGGCCTTATCAGTACAGATGATGCCCAGACAGCTCTCAGGGACAGCCCTTTGAAGAAAGGCATGTTCCAGCTCCTAGTGCACCTCTAGGACTATTCTTCCATAGAACTATTTGCAACCAAATATTATTGGTCAGATGATCAGATGAACTGAAGACTGAAAGAACATTTGGTCAGATGATCAGATGAACTGAAGACTGAAAGAACATCTAAGTGTCACCATGGTCTTATATGCTACCTCTTTTATTTGCAGAATCATAGACTTGTTCAGATTGGAAAAGACCTTTTAAATTATGAACTCCAACCTGGCATGGCCAAGCCCACCAGTAAACAATGTTCCCAGGTGCCACATCTACACATTTTTAATGGGCATAGTGACTCCACCACTTCCCTGGGCAGGCTGTTCCAATGTTTGACAATCCTTTTGCTGAAGAAATTTTTCCTAAGAACCTGGCAATCCCCCTCTGCCCTAGGAGGTACTTTCTGCCCAGCTCCTCTGCTCCTCTGCAAATGCCAGGTGACACCAACCACACTGACAGCACAGGAAAGGACTTGATGAACTGGAAAGACAAGACTTTGCTGTAAATGACAAGGAAAGCTATTCTCAGCTGCCTTTGCTCTAAACAGAAAAGCCGTGTCCAAGTGAAAGGCAATGCCAGATCATTTTCTGACTTGCTGGGAAAGCAGCAGTAAATGCTTCTTTGTGCAGACAAGCGTATGTGCAAGTCTGGCAAAGAAAAGAAGCAGCCAAGAGACCTCAGAAAAATGGAAGCTGTTATATAAACTCGGAGCAGTAGCCACAGAAGCACCTTCCTCGGTACAGTTAGAGGTCTGTGTGTTTAAAACCAGCCCAGAAAGCACTGCCAACATACAATTCCCTCTGCTCCAAAGCACTGCTGGCTGCAAGGCTCAGCCAGGGAAGGCAGCTTTGATTAGAACAGCTTCTGAGACACATGTGAAGTTTGAACACAGGAATGAGTTTGTTACCTTTGCCTAACATACAGAAATATCAGAATCTATAAGGACCAATACTTAACAATCTTTGCTGCAAGGTAACCCAGGAGCTTAAGAAAAGCAGGGCTAAGACTCAAGGGGAAATGCTAGCTCAGCCTGAAGCATTAATTTATGCAGCAGAACACCTCACTGGTGCTCTTGAGAGCAGACAAGCTCTGGGGAATGCTACTGAGTTGCATTTGGAAGAGAACACAGGGACTGAGAAAGGTGTTAGCCCACCTTTGCTGACTGCCTGCAAAGCACATGGGGAGATCTTGAGGAAAGAACACTATTTCATTAAATCCAAGGGACAGCACCAGATGAGAGTGCCATCTGTCCATGGCCTGCCACTGTAGGCCAGTCACTGCAGAAACAGGCTCACACCACAGACACACTGGGACTATCTGACCTGTGCAGAGGCAGCAGCAGATGCCACCCCCAGCCACTGCCCAAGGAGTTCACATTCCTGGTGATTTCTGAACTGGGAAACACTTGCTGTAAGAAAACCCACCCACTCACCATAAATAGCACTGCACTCTTCAAAAGCACCTCAACAGCCAGAATGTTAGGTAAATATCCTGGTTATTTCTGTG